GGGGTTGTATTTGTGTGTGTGTGTGGCTGGATCCTATACTTCCCACTGCTCTTGTCTTCCAGTTGTTTCAATGTGCGAAGCTGACCTGCACAGGAAGGAATCTGACCATGTGATCGATAATTTACAACCCAACTTGCAATCAAACAGCCCGATCTAAGTACTGAACTCCATCCTGAGGCTACATTTATGGCACTTGCCTTTATTCTGTAAGAAGTGTCCAGACAACATGCCCACATATGAAGCACAACTATCAGCTACTGGAAGAACTGAGGATTGCAAAAATTGAGCGTTCATAGACCTGAAAGCAAGGGGAGAGCGTAGGCAAAGGAGGGATAGCAAGCAGTGAAGGAGGGACGATGAAGAGGTTGGGCTCAACGCTCAAATTTTTGAACTTCCTTTTCAACTTTACTGCTCCACAAAAACAGTTCAACGTATCAGCACTTATCCTTGGCTGCTGCCAATCAACTATAGACTCAGTATAGACTCAGTATAGAGTCTATAGACACTGTTTCCCTGAATGACAATCGCATTTTTGACAGTTGTATGTTCTGGACAACAAGCTATTAACCAATAGAGCCATCGGTTGCCTTTCACCATCATTCACAGGATTTGATCACAAAATCAATGAAGATACTTAACTAAGGGGAAAGAAAGAGGAAAAGGAAGAATGTAATACTTACGTGCAGAAAGACTTACGAGGAGGCAGGCTGCCAAGTACACAAAGTAGAGAACATACTGCTCAACATGCGAAATCATGGACAGGATCAACAGCACACAATTCCGAAGGAATCAGGAACAGGAGATCAAAGGTGTGTGGGGGGTGGGGGTGGGGGAGACAACTCCTTAATATAATCATATTTTATTTCAGATGATGAGCAAACAAAAAAAAGAAAAAAGGAAGGCAACTGCTTCATCTGAGTTCCTATTGGCCCACAATTCATGCAATTTAGATGAGAAATCTCTTCGCACTCTCCAGAGTCTCCACGCCATTTCAGATTGGGAGGCCCACAGTCATTCATTTTTGACTGATGCAGTTTAAAGTTTAAACCACCACTCCAACAGTCCCTGCACTGCTCATTTTTCTTGTTTACGAGTGCCGGGTCAAAATCTACAGTACCCAGGCCTGGTACCATAATTATTTTTCCTCAGGGCAGCACTGTAGACCTTAGGCTCGGGGAAATGCAACTTTTGGAAGGGGGGGTTAAACCACCACTCCAACGGCCCCTGCACTGTTCATAATTCTTGTCTATTAGTACCAGGCCAAGGTCTACAGTCCGCAGGCCCGGTAGAGGTTCAGTGGGGAAGGGTACCACAATTATTTTTCCTCACGGTGGCACTGTCGATTTTAGGGTCGGGGAAATGCAACTTTTCCTTTGTCAAAATAGGTCCAGATGAGTGTGAAACGATCCTGTTCACCCGGATCAGGATTGAAGTCACAATGGCAAGATCAGCACGAGATGAGCACACACAGGACTCTCTCTTCCACTCCTACTAACTACTTCGCCCAGGTCCCGCGATCACTGTCTGAATGCGACTACACAAGCTCGCAGCTATGGCGCCCAGACTACTCTCCCTCGCCCGGCATTGTTCATTCCAAGATCTTGGCGCCCAAGCACCGCAGCAGTGCTTCCTCCAATGCAGGACTCCAAGAAGAGGCAGTTCCTCGTGTTGGCCTCCCTTTTGTGCCTATGTCTCTGCCTCCCACATGGTTCCGAAGCCTTCCTGCCAGGCCTTACCAAGCAGACAAAGATTTGGTCTGCTGTGGCCTTTCCCTGGGACTGAGCTGCAATGGGACCGGGACTGCACAAGTGGCAACTCCCTAACTCCCGACTTCTAGGACCCTCTACTACTGTCCCTACCGGTCCACTACCAGACGGAAAGTTTCTTTTTTTTTTTCTTTTTTTTTTTTAGTTGTTTGATGGACCACGGATCAGATTCTAAACCGATCGGAAGAGATACTGCACTTGATCTTAGCCAAATGCCGAGAAAGGTATACCGGCCAGAAAATTCTACCTCGGCCCTAAGGTACAAAAGAAAATGGGAGGAGGTACCGGTTGCTTGGGAGGCCACGCGGCTTGGAAGTCACCGCTCAAGAGGCTGGGTGCTCGCTATATCTTCAGGAAGAGAGAGTTGCTCTTCCTCATTTGCAGTTTGCATGTTTGGGCGTCACGCTGCTGGAGTGCTGGTTGGAAGAGCGCTGTGTGGAGCGCTGGTTGGAAGAGTGCTGTGTGGAGCGCTGGGAGGAGGAGCGCCTGGGCTGCCACCCTGGCTATGGTGGTCAGCACCAGGTAGGAGGAGGAGGAAGAAGGGGACTAGGAGGAGAGTGGGCAGGGGTACTTAGCTGGTTATGGTGGAGGCCATTTCATCTCCTTGGTAGGCCCTGCATCTGGAAGGCCCCAAGTGGGGTAGCGCTGCATCAAGAAGGCTTCAGGGCAGAGTCAGGCATGGCGGCCTGAGGTGTAGAGGACGTCGCTGCCTTTACGTTCTCTTTTGAACATCGGGCCAGGGCCCCTAGTAGTCCACCATAGCCATCACCTGTCTAGGTGGAGGAAGGTGGAGGTCCAGGCTATGATGGACCTCATGATGTGCTAGCAGTAAGAGAGGGATTCAAACATTAGTTCTGGTTCAGCCGTTCTTTGTTATCATTATTATTCTTTGTTGAATAAGAGATGGGAAGATAAGGAGGAGATTGGTTGCCGAGAGAAGGGGGAATTGTAATTTCTCTTTTGCTGGTGTACATCTTCTTCTTCTTCTTCTTCTTCTTCTTCTTCTTCTTCTTCTTCTTCTTCTTCTTCTTCTTCTTCTTCTTCTTTCTTTCTTACTTCTTATTCTGACTTCGTCTCTTTCTCCTCTCGAATTCTTTCATTTCTTTTGCAATTGGGCGGCAATGTCTTTCCTTGTGTATTTGCACTTCGGGATTGGGAAGGATCGCAAAACACATCTTGCCCAGCATGTCTTTGTGCCAGCACATTGAGAAAACCAGGCCACGAAGTGGCAACAGCATCAGAAGCGCACTGTGAGAAAGTTTTTTCAGATATTCCTATTACAATCAAACCTGCAAAAGAAAGGATGGGAAAAAGAAAAGGAAACCCTGCAGGTTGGAATGCTCGAGGGACCTAGCTCACACATTAAACACTCCTAGAGGCTCACAAGAGCGTTTTCCTTCGGCCAGAGGAAGAGAGAGTGGAGGGGAGAGAGAGATACA